GCTGGTTTTGAACCGTGATTCTCAGATCTCAGCCTCCTGAGTAGCTAAGATTACAGGTGTGAGCCACTGGCGCCCGGCTTAATTGCATTTTTTTAATCTTTTTTTTTTTTGGTCCTGGGGATCAAATCCTGGACATTGCACTTGCTAGGCAAGCGCTTTGCAACTGAGCTACATCCCAGCCTGTGAAAGTTACTTTGGAAGGCGGCTTCTGTTCCTTAAAGAAATGGTAGTCATTTGCCATACTGGAGCTCAGGACTAGAACGTATAAAGAGCCAAGGGCCCTTGCACCTTGATTTTTTTCATCTGAAGAAGTTTCCGCAGCCTACCTCGGGCGCAGCTGTGGTGGTTTGCTCCACGCTGCGTGTGCGCCTGCCACAGTCACACGGAACATCACAACCGCCTGCCTTCTCCTACCTTTCTCACTCTCCTGTGCTCTGCTTCCCTGCCTGTAATTGGGAAAGACTGAAGAACTGGTTTTCTATGCTTTATAGATTTATTTACTGAGAAAAAAAAGCCTCCAACATAAAGAAATACATAATATCCATAAAATCACAGAGTTCTACACTCACTACATCTGACTTGAGAAAAACGGAAAGAATAAATAGAAGGTGAGCTGTCCCTGGAACAGCACAAGATACTAACTGCCCTGGACACAGGATGGGGGTAAACGACTCTCAGGAAGGGCAGAGGTTAGGGTGAGCAGAAAAGTCTGAAATCCTCAGCTGAACTGAGAACCTTCTACTCCATTGCCTTCTCCCTGAAAACTAGACACAAAATCACGTCTTACAGGGGGCTGGGAAGGTGGCTCAGTGGTAGAGCGCTTGCCTTGCATGCACGAGGCCCTGGGTTCGATTCCTCAGCACCACATAAACAGAAAAAGCTGGAAGTGGTGCTGAGGCTCAAGTGGTAGAGCGCTAGCCTTGAGCTGAAGAGCTGAAGGACAGTGCCCAGGCCCAGAGTTCAGGCACCATGACTGGCAAAAAAAAAAAAATCACGTCTTACACCCGGAGGGGCTCTGAGACAGAGGAAGGAATAAACAGGACTGAAGTAGCCCTCACGGGACCGGGCGTGGTGGTACTCACCTGTAATTCTAGAATGTGGGAGGCAGAGGAATGAGGACCTTGAGTTCCAGGCCAACCTGGGCTATATAACCAGACTTTGTTCCAAAAAATCCCCCCCCCCCAAAAAAAAAAAAAGAAAAAGAAATACCCTCAGGAACTGAAATGTGGATGAACAGATACAGATAAACCAAATGGACTCCATTCTGCTGATGGAATATTATTCAGCCATCTACACTCAAAAAAGGAATCCTGTGCTGAACCTTGAGAACATGGTGCTGAATAAAAGAAGCCAGACAGGAACAATCACATTTACAAGAAATGTCCCTAGTAAACAAGTCTGGAGAGACAGAAAGGAGGTAAGTGTCTGCCAGGGGCTGGAAGGGGGAACACTGGGAAGAGGCAGCGATTGCTTAACAGGGACAGGATTTGCTTTTGTGGTGATGACAATGTTCTAAAACTGGACAAAGGTGATGGTTGCACAGCACTGTGAATGTCCTAAATGACACTTACAGAAACTTTATCTCAATTAAAGATGAGAGAGATGGAGGTGGGGAGAGAAGGGCTGGGGCCAAGCACTGGTGCCATGCCCTTAATCCTAGCTACTTGGGAGCCTGAGATTGGGAGGATCTCAGTTCAAGGCCAGACCACAAGACTCCTTTCTCAACTGAGAGCTAGATGCAATGGTGAGTACCTGTACAATAAGACGCCTAACAGGAAGAGCACACCCACCTGGGCAAGAAGCAAGGCCTTATGTCAAGAGTAATCAGCAAAAACTTGGGATGATGGTGTGGCTCAGCAATATGAGCACCTGCCTAGCCAACAAGGCTTGAGTTCAAACCTCAGTCCCACAAAGGGGGAAGAAGCAGGAGGTGGAGGGAACAGGGATACAAGCTCAGTGGTAGAGTTTGTCTAGCATACACAACCAAGGAATAGTCCTGGGTTCCATCCCCAGCAGCAACACAGTCTCACACACCACACATGTGCACATACATACAACCCTCTAAATGTCTATGAACAGGTTAGTAAAGTAATAAGCAACCTGAAAGAGAAAAGGTCAATTTCAAAAGAGAAAGCAATTTCCTCAAATTTCTAACAAGAGGCTTGGACATAGGGTGGGGGAGCCGAACACTGACCCTCCTCCCTTTTCTCACCTCAACGCCTCCGAGAAAACCAGCAAGCAAGGAGCTGTGCCTCAAAGGAAAAGCCAAAGCAGCATCTGCCCCTAGCTTCAGGACGGCAAGAGGAGAAAATCGGTTCACGTGTTCCCCTCAGCCTCCCGCTTCCGTACAATGGGTTCAGGGACAGAAGGTCAGGCTGCCTTGGACACACAATAAGCTCCAAACCTGAGATACCTCACAAGAAACACTGTCTCAAAAACAAAAATCAGCACTGTGGCTCAAGTGAAAGAGCACCAACCGTGAACAACAACAAAAAGCCAGTGAGAGCTTGACCTGAGTTCAAGCCCCAGTACCAGCATGAACAAATGTCTGTCCCACGCAGCTAGCCTTTTCCCAACGAAGGTGCCGTGGCTGCCAGGTCCTGTCCTACCCCACATCATTCCATCTCCACTTTTTAGGTCATCCTTCAAGGCTCAGCACAAATGACACCTGTGTCAGGAGCCTGCAGATTCACACCTGGCGGAAGGGCTTTCTCCAGAACTCGCACGCCCTCCCTCTGCACGCCCTGCTTGTGGTGTTCTTCGTGCCTGGAAGCATCACTTAGAGGACATGTGCCACCCCTTGCCCCCTGATTCCTCTCCACCAAAATCTATGAATGCTCAGTCCCATTTTGCCAACCAAAAAGTCGCCCCCACATTTCCCCAAATGCTCGCCTGGAGGGTGACACCGCCCACTGATGGGCTGGGAACTAGTGCATAGCTATTAGTGAATATATTTGGCTATCAGCCCACTAAGAACTCGAGGGGGAAGACAACCTAGAGTCCCTGGGCCACCACCCCAGGGCCTGCTTCTATCTGTGCCCTTGTTTGCTGTGTGCACTTGCGTGCACAGGTCTGGGCTCTTCGAGAGACTGAGGGTGGCACTGGTCTCTCCTCTACCACAGGTGGTGAAGCACAAAGGCCCTAGAATAAACAATTATTATTATGAGCCTTGATCCCATCTCTGCAATGCTGTGTAGGATTCTGGCAGGCATTAAATAATACCCCAATGTTCGCTATTTGGGGTGGGGATATGGCCCAGTGGTAGAGTATGACCTTAGTACAGACAAGACCCTAGGTTCAAGCCTCAGCACCAAAAACATTTTTTTAACAATATTATCCAAGGTAGGACTCCCCAATGGTTATTACTGCCGCAGCCCTCCCCCATTTTTTTTTCCACACCTATATTCCTAGTTACTCAGGAGGCTGATATCTCATGAGTGTGGTTTAAAGGTAGCCCAGGAGAGGGGCTGGGAAGGTGGCTCAGTGGTAGAGCGCTTGCCTTGCATGCTTGAGGCCCTGGGTTCGATTCCTCAGCACCACATAAGCAAAATGAAAAAAGCTGGAAATGGCGCTATGGCTCAAGTGGTAGAGCGCTAGCCTTGAGCTGAAGAGCTGAGGGACAGCGCCCAGGCCCAGAGCTCAGACCCCACGACCGGACCCCCCCCCCAAAAAAAAACACAAAAAAACAAAGGTAGCCCAGGAGAAAAGTCCATGAGACTTATCTCTGATAACCACCAAAAAGACAGGAAGTGGAACTGTGGCTCAATTGGCAGAGTGCCAGCCTTGAGTGCAAAAGCTCTGGGACAGTGCCCAGGCCTTGAGTTCAAGCCCCAGAACCAGAGCAACGGTGCCAGAAGCACATATTAGTTGTGGGTTTTCATCACCAGGAAGGGTTTACCGTACCAGCAGCCAACTGGGAAGGGCGACTGGCGCTCGCCCTAAAGCTGCCTTGGCAGCACGCACACACTGGGTGGCTCTGGGTGGTTTCGGCAGAGTTGCAGCCCCCGACTCTTGCAAGGAACAAAGGAGATTCTGGGGACACAGCACTCTTTCCTTGGGGGCGGGGAAGGGAGGGAGGAGCGAATGACAGCACAGCCCTGGGGCACCTGAAGTTTCCACTCTGGGGCCATGGGTGGAGGAAGGTAAAAGTTGCCTCTGGGGAGGTGGGCACTGCCTGGCCGGCCCTCTTGCCCATGGCACCGAGATGCCCCCCCACACACACCAGGCTCCATCCCTCTGCGAGGTGCCACCTCTCCAGCTGCAAGTGACAGCAGCCGGGGAGGCAGAGCTGTGAACACACCCCGCTCCCCGACCCAAACTGGGCAGCCAGAGGGTGGCGGGGGAGAAGCCAGGAAAAGCTCCAGGCCGCCCGGGGCGGCGCCGGGGGAGGCTCGCTTCTCCGCAGTCCCGGCGCGCTGCGGCCCCGAGGCAAATTTAGGTCAAAAGGACCCAACCTGCCAGCGAGATGCAGGCTCCGGGAAGGGGCTGCGGTGCGGTGGCCAAGCGCAGGCTGGGGCGCGGCACAGGTCCCTCGCCGTCCCCACCTCTGCCCCGCGGAGTCCCGGCCACCAGGGCCTGAGTTTGCCTCGCGGGCGGCGGGGTGGGGATGCTCCGAGCCGGCGGGCGGCCCCTGGGACCCCGCGGGCTCCGGGCTCCCCGCCTGCCCAACGCCGGGGCTGGGCCTAGGCAGCCTCGGAGGTGCAGGCGGCCCCGGCGACCTCCGGACCCAACTCGGGTCCGTCCCAGCCCGGGGCCCGGCGCGGCCCAGCCGAGGCCAGCGGGGCTCCGGACGCTCGGAGGCCGCGGGGGAAGGGGCGCCGGGGCCGCGTCCCTCCACGTGGCGGGGCGCGGGGCGGCGCACGTGGGGTCCCTGTGGAGGAGCCCCGCGGCTTTGTCTGCAGTCCCGGCGGGGGTCTCCGCCCCTTGAGGGCAGGGGACCCAGGCGCCTGGACCCCGCGGCGGCGGCGTCTCCCGCCCGGGCCCGGCTCCAGTCAGCTCACCTGGGCTCGGCGCCGCCGCCTCCGGCGCTCGGGGTCCCCGGTTCGGCTCCGCAGGCTCCGCGGCCGCGCGCGGCTCTCCGCGGCCCTGCGGGCGGGCAGGCGGCGCGCGGGGCGGGGCCATGCGGGAGGGGGCGGGGCTATCCGGGCGAGGGCGGGAGGAGACGCCTCCGGTCGCGCGTTGATTGGCTGGGGGAACCAGCGCAAGCCGCGCGCACCCGCCCGCTGTTTGGGCCGCGCGCTTGGGGACCGAGGGGAAGAGGCGAGAAGAAGGAGGGGAGCAGGAGGGGGAGGCGGGTCCAGTCGAGATCCGGTAGCGCCGACCCGAGAAGGGGAGGAGGCGGGGAGAGGGGAAGTGAGGCCGCGGGAGAGACCGGAGGTGGCGGCCGCCCAGACCAGCGGGAGGGACGCGAAGGCCGCGCGGCGCCGCAGCTCTGCCCGCCCGCCCTTGGCGCGCACCTGCCGGCTCCCCCGCCGCCGCGGCCCGCGCCCGGGCTGCAGGCGCCTCCGGCCGCCCGCTTTGTTTAGCCCCGCGCGGACACTGCCGGGCGGCGGCCAGTCCGGGAAGTTCCCCCAGCCCGGGGGAACGGGCGCCCGGCCTCCCTGCGCGGCCCGGCGTCGCAGGACACCGCCCACGGGGCATCCACGTCTGCTGACCAGCTGACCCTGCTCCGGGCCGGTCCTCTCCCACCCGCACCCCGCCCGTCCCCAGCACCCGCTGCTTGCCACTCACTGAAACCCCAGGGCTTTCCTAAGACCGCTTAGACGCTTCTGGTGCTCTACCATCTGAACCACACCTCCACTTCCGGCTTTTTTCCTTCCGCACAGACTTTTGGCTCCAAACGGCAGCCCTCAGATCTCAGCTTCCTGAATAGCTAGAATTTCAGGCGTGGGCAGTGCACTGGGACCATCGACTTAACTATATTCCTTCCTCGCTCAGGGTTTTTCCTTTGTTTTGTGGGGCTGGGGACCGAACCAGGGTCTCAAGCTTGCTCAGCAAGTGCTTCACGACAACCCCACTTAAATTCCCAGCCACAAATTCCAGGAGCCCAGGCAAACACCACATCCAGTACAGTGTACATGGTGGGCATTGTGCCTGTACAATTAGTGACTTTAAATCTCACATCCAAGAGTTACCAGCTCTGCGGGCCGCGGCAAGTGGCTTAACATCTCCCAGGTTGTGTTCATCAGCCAGCTAGCTCACAGGTTGACATGGAGTCTCAGTACAATAACGTATGTGGAGATATTAGCTCGTTGCCTGGCAGATAAGTGTTCAATGGCGCTATTAATATACTTGAACAGGGCTAAAAAGCCCAGCAATTTGGGCGCCTTTCTTATGAAAGCGAATTAGAACAAAGTACAGAACATCATAATTGCCTGTCGTTGACATCCAGCCCCTCTTGATAGCAATCATCCCACTCAGGAAACCATTTTCACCTTCAGAGATATAAAACTAAAAGAAATGGCTTTGCTTTTCTGGGTATTGTCCCCCTCCAAGAACGCCAGAAAATCCTTTTCTAAGCAAACAGATCTTGTTGTCCTGACAACTCAGACTGCTAAGCAAATAAACTTTAAAAAGCAATCATATCTTATTTTTAAAGAAAACTTGAACAGGGAGGGGCTGAAATGCAAGATTTTAACATGATCTCACCCAAGCAGGGCTTCAGATCTTCTGCCAAAGCTTTGTCCTTTTGTCCTGATGTACTTTGTGTCCTATTCCTGTTGTTCATGGGAGGTTTCTATCGCCCTAGCCTTGAACATCCAGAACCAGAGATTAGTAACACCCATGAACTTGATCATCCAATTGTTTCCTGTTCAGCAGAACCACAAGACTTCAAAAAGGCCTTGAGAAATTTCCCTCCACCAGGCAGGAATATTAGTAAGTTTATTGGATGCCCTAAGAGTGGACGCATGCCAAGTGCCAGTAGCTCATGCCTGTAATCCTAGCTACTCAGGAGGCTGAGATCTGAGGATATAGGTTAGAAACTCGCCCAGGGGCTGGGAAGGTGGCTCAGTGGTAGTGCTTGCCTTGCATGCCTGAGGCCCTGGGTTCGATTCCTCAGCACCACATAAGCAAAAAGAAAAAAGCCAGAAGTAGCGCTGTGGCTCAAGTGGTAGAGCACTAGCCTTGAGCTAAAGAGCTGAGGGACAGCGCCCAGGCCCAGAGTTCAGGCCCCACGACTGGACCCCCCCCCCCAAAAAAAAAAACAAACCCTGAAACCAGCCCAGGCAGAAAATCCATGAGACAAAAAAAAAAGAAAATCCATGAGACTTACCTCCAATTAACTCCCCCAAAACTGTAAGTGGTACTGAGGCTTCAAGTGGTAGAGCTCTAGCCTTGAACAAAAGAGCTCAGGGACAGCACCCATGCCCTGAGTTCAAGCCCATGACCAACCAGAAAACAAACAAAAACAACCAAGATGTCAAGACAAATTTTTTTAAACACTTGGAATGAGTGAGAATATTTTAGGCATGTGGTGGGTTGGATGACAGCCTGGTGAGGAGAGAGAAGAGAGCCTGTCATCCTGGGACCAAATCCTCATTCCAGTCCAAACCAGTGAGAGGCTGGGACAAGCCCCAGGGTTTAGGGTTTGGTTTCCTCACCTGTAAGATGGGGAATTTAGAGCATTAGAGACAACACAAATACTTAGCAGTGTGACTCAGACACGAGATTCAATGACAACTGATATTAGGTGTTCAAAAAAAGTTCTAGCCGGGCGCTGGTGGCTCACGCCTGTAATCCTAGCTACTCAGGAGGCTGAGATCTGAGGATCGCGGTTCAAAGCCAGCCCGGGCAGGAGAGACCGTGAGACTCCTATCTCCAATAAACCACCAGAAAACCGGAAGTGGTGCTGTAGCTCAAGTGGTAGAGCGCTCGCCTTGAGCTGAAGAGCTGAGGGACAGCGCCCAGGCCCAGAGTTCAAGCCCCACAACCGACAAAAAAAAAAAAAAAAAAGTTCACCAAAGCTCTGGAAGCAAGCAGCTCTCTGCCAGATGAGGGTCACAGATCAAGTAGGTTAGATCTCAGCTCGGCAGCCTGCATACTTCACCTTCTATTAAATGGAAGTATTGCCATGGCCTACTTCTTAGGACGCGTGAAAATGGAATGTGGTAATTTATGTAAAGAATTCACAACAGAACACCCTGTAAATGGTAGTTATTCCTATCCATCGCCAGGCAGGAGACCTGAGTTCCCACCAGGCCTCTGAGGTCAGAACACAGTGGTTTTCTCTGAATGCACATTGTGAAAGCCTCTGACACAGACTTAAAATCTTCACTACCCTTCTCACCAGACCCCTTCTCACTTAACCAGATGATCAATTTTTACACCCCTACACAAGCCACCCACAACTACACCATTATGTAATTACTCCTTTCTCCCACAAAATGCTCCAACAGGAAAAAAAAAAGCTGTCACCCAGCAGATAGTTGTGAATATGGGGGTCTCTCTGATATACCCACTTTCCATCTGGCCCAGCCTAAGTACAGTAGAGGGCACAGGTCACTCCAGTTAGCTTTGCTTTCTGCGCCCTTGCCAGGGTGAACATGCACCCATCAGAGCATTGTTGCGTGTGGTCTGGGTTATTCTGATTAAAATACAATATACGCGTGTCTAAAATACCCTGCTGAAAGCCCTTGGTGCAACTAATATACACATACACCAAGAATGATAGGAAAGTAAAATAGACTGGGGGAGGCAGGAGGAGTGGAGGGCAAATGAAGGGAGCGTGCTTCCAGTGCATGAGTGACAGACGAGTGCGTTCTTCTCTGCTACAGAAGAACAGCATCTAGGACTCCAAGCTTCCACAGGCCCAGGCCTCCATAAGGGACACAAGAAGACCCAGAAAGTAAGCTGAGGCACAACGCCAGCGTGGGAGCCCACCAAACACACCAAGTTTGCCCAGTGACCATTGCCATGACACAGAACTGCTGCTCCAGGGGTCCAAGGGCAAATGTGACCTAGTAGATTCAGAAAAGGGTGGGAGTGCACCGAGAGGAAATGGGGGCATCAGAGCTGCCAGCTGGCCTCCGTGAGGAAGGCGGGGAGCCAAGGACTGAGCCCCCTTCCCCTAATAAACATCTATTCATCCTAAAATCTACTACATAAAACCTACAATTCATCTTCAAACCTACTGAAATTTTCTAAAGGGAGAAGCAGGATGAGACAGTGACAGAGGAAGGTGAGGTGAAGTAGGAATTTTTTGAGTTTATCCCATCCTATAACTAATTCTTAAAGGTGGCTCAGTGGTAGAGCGCTTGCCTTGCATGCATGAGGCCCTGGGTTTGGTTCCTCAGCACCACATAAGCAGAAAAAGCCGGAAGTGGTGCTGTGCCTTAAGTGCCAGAGCACTACTCTTGAGCTGAAGAGCTGAGGGACAGTGCCCAGGCCCAGAGTTCAGGCCCCAGGACCGACAAAAAAGAGAATCCAAACAACAACAAAAAAGCTACAGACTAGCCTTGGCATATATAATAAAACTGTCTCAAAAATCAAACAAAAAAATGACAAAACACATTTGATAGCATGTATATAAAATCTGGGTGCTGGTGGCTCACACTTTTAATCCTACTCAAGAGGCTGGGATCTGAGGATTGCAGTTCAAAGCCAGCTGGGGCTGTTTGTGAAACTCTTGTCTCCAATTAGCTAGTGGAGCGTGTGGCCCAAGTGGTAAAGCACTAACATTGAGCCAAAAAAGCTCAGGAACAGTGCCCAGGCCCTTAGTTCAAGCCCCAGGCTGGCACAAAAATATATAAATAAAAACCTGGTATTGGCAACTACTTCTTGCAAGAATTATTCATTTTATAGCCAATAGTATTACTTCACTTTGACCATCTACAAACAAATCTCCAAATAAATTTCAGTGAAGACTCTGAACACCAACATACCACTTAGTGTCTCAATTTCCACACGATTTCCAGAACAGCTGTCTTTGGCCAGGAAACAGGCTTGTGGATCAAAGTTTTTTTTCTCTACCTCAGAGAGCTGGAAAGAACTTCTCATTGGGAAATTTAAATTTAATAGAGAAAGAGCCAACCACAGAAGCTGCAAAACTTGATTGGTTGGTTGTGATTTTCAGCTTGTTTGGGTCCACCTGCAGCTCTTCTGTGACAGCGAGTGCTGGCTCTGCCGCACCGCAGGGCACTGCATGCATTTGAGCATCTGTACCCCTCTGAGCTTCCTGCCCTTTCTTCTTTAAGAGCCTCCTCCTTATGGTGAATTCCTAGACTCACTTCATGACTCGGCCTTCACAGTTATGAAACATACCCTTGCAGAATGGATAGAAGAAAAAAGACAGCACCTAGAAAATGGTTGAAATATGCTTGTCATCAGTCCAAAAACCATTAAGCTCCCCCACCAAAAAAAACAAAAAACAAAACAAAACTTTTTTTTTTTTTGGTGTCAGTTCCTCGGCTTGAACTCGGGCCTTGGGCTCAGTGTTCCACTTCCTTACTCAACTAGTGCTCACCACTCTGGTGTAGCATTTCGCTGGCTAATTGGACAGTCTCAAGGACTTTCCAGTTGTACTGGCTTTGAACTATGATCCTCTGGGTTTCAGTCTCCTCAGAGCTTGTATTAGAAAGGCATGAGCCACAGGTGCTGTCTTTTTCCTTCTTAATCTCTCGTCAGTGAGTGACTTGCTTCAGATCACCCCACGCAACTACCGGCTCATGCCCACACAGGCATGCTACAGAGGGAAGCCCAAGCTTCAGCAAGGCCTGCACTGGGGCTGCAGTCAGAGCTCAATGGAAAAGCAGTTGCCCAGCTTGCGCAAGGCACTGCGTTCCACCCCCAGCATTACAAAAGAAAAAAACCAACAGGGACCATGGAGAGCTCTGCCCACTCCCTGGAGGTCCTGACTGTGAATGTGAGGTCAAGAGGTTTCCATAAAAACAGAATGTACACAATTCCTATAAAGACCTTGGCAATTCTATCCAGAAAGCATCATCTTGGACTATCCTCTAAGAAGAGGGAAACGAAATACTCACTAGTGACAAAGTGAGACAAGCTCATCACAATGCAGTTTACTGACAAGACAGTTACGCCGCCACAGCCAGTGTGCAGCAGGGGTGGGGATGGGGGTGAGAGTGGGGTGCGTGAAGCCCCGCACAACACCAGCAGGAATGCCCCCTCTAGATATGATTGATCATGGGCGCCGCGTTGGCGGGCAGCTCCTGATGCAGCTGCCGGAAGAGCATGGCACACCGGTTCCTCTCCTGCGTCTTCCCCAGGACGTGGTACAGTTTGGCCTGGAAGTAGGCAATGTCTCTGATTCGCTCTTTGCAGTCGACTTTCGCAAAATAGTTCTTGGCTTCGTTGAGATTCTCAATGGCAGACTCCAGAGCTGACAGATAGTGAGAAACACCACACACATTAAATTCTTCATACAGCCTCCCAAACCTGGCATCTGATGTTACTTAACCTGGGCTAAATGCTTTCATATTCTCCATTCTTTTTTTTTTTTTTGTTGGTCATGGGGCTTGAACTCTGGGCTTAGGCACTGTTCCTGGGCTCTTCAGCTCAAGGCCAGTGCTTTACCACTTGAGCCACAATGCCACTTCTGGTTTTCTAGTGATTTATTTGAGATAAGAATCTCATGGATGGGCTGGGAAGTTGGCACAGTGGTACAGTGCTTGCCTAGCATGCATGAGGCCCTGGGTTCGATTCCTCAGCACCACATAAGCAGAAAAAAGCTGGAAGTGGCGCTGTGGCTCAAGTGGTAGAGCGCTAGCCTTGAGCTGAAGAGCTGAGGGACAGCGCCCAGGCCCAGAGTTCAAGCCCCACGATTGGATCCCCCCCCCCCAAAAAAAAAGAATCTCGTGGAAAGCCGGGTGCCTGTGGCTCACACCTGTAATCCTAGCTAATCAGGAGGCTGAGATGTGAGGATCGCGGTTCAAAGCCAGCCCGGGCAGGAAAGTCCGTGAGACTCTTAACTCCAATAAACCACTAGAAAACTGGAAGTGGCACTGTGGCTCAAGCGGTAGAATGCTCACCTTGAGTGGAAGAGCACCCAGGCCCAGAGTTCAGGCCCCACAGCCAAAAACAACAAAAAAGTCTCACGGAGTTTCTTGCCCGGGCTGGCCTTGAACCACGATTCTCAGATCTCAGCCTCCTGAGTAGCTAGGATTATAGGTGTGAGCCACTGGCGCCCAGCTATATTCTCCATTCTTTATGAAATTAGGATAACATGCATGAGGCCCTGGGTTCCATTCCTCAGTACCACAGACACAGAAAAAGCTACAAGTGGCACTGTGGTTCAAGTGGTAGAGTGCTAGCCTTGAGCAAAAGAAGCTCAGGGACAGTGCCTAAGCCCTGAGTTCAAGCCCCAGGACTGGCAAAAAAATAAAAATAAAAAAATAAATAAAAAGAAATTAGGATAACAAACAAAAAAGCCCACCAGCACCACTAAGGTGAAATTTTAACATTTCCAAGTGCCTAGTTGTCTGGCTACCCGTCATTTATGAATGTGTAACTGTTCATCTGCCTTCCTGCCAACCTTGCATGTGAAAGCCCTCACTGTGTTACATCACCTTAACAAGTGCTGTAGACTTAAATGCTGTCCCCCAACTTAACGCCGTGTACCCTTCTGGGAGCAAACTGTAGCAGCTTTGTGGAGTCTCTGTACTGCTTCCTACCTTCGGCTCTCTTCAGTGGATCATAGGAAACTGTGGAAGCCACCTGGCACTTGGCCACTAAGAACATGGCGCGGCCCTTGTCCAGGATAGCTCCGTCCGCCAGAATGGGCTCGATGGCCATGTGAAGAAGTGTTAAGGCCTGTTCTGGAATTCCAAGGATGAGCTAGAAGAGAACCATCATAGCATGGTCACATCCACAGCCAGAGCCCGTGGCCGCCAATGGCTCCTTTTGCTCCCTGAGCGGCCATCCCTGCCTCCCCTTTTCCAGGACACCCATATTACACTGGGCAGCCCTACTCGCTGTGAATGTGAGGTCAAGAGGTTTCCATAAAAACAGAATGTACACAATTCCTGTAAAGACCTTGGCAATTCTACCCAGAAAGCATCATCTTGGACTATCCTCTAAGAAGAGGGAAACGAAATACTCACTAGTGACAAACCTTTAGAAAGGTTTTATTTTCACAGAATAATTCAGCATTGATCCCGTTCATGCTGGGACCCTAAGGGGTCTAACTAGCTCTGTCAGAATTCTTAGGGGTAGGTAACAACTAAGAAAGTTACTCAAAAGGATAGAGGAAGACAACGACAGAGGAATTAAAATGGTCACTAAGTAACATATACTTAGCAGGACAGCAGTAATGGAGGCTCTGAGCCAGCGGGTCATGACAGAGGCAGGGGGCTCGTGGAAGAGGAGTCTCCTTTACTGAACATGGCGCAAGGGAGCCAATGTTGCTGGGAGTGTCTACTTTCTATCAGGTGCACCCCCACTGGCTTCCGTGGCGGGCTGGCCCCCTCCAATATAAACAAGTGAAAGCTCAGCACCACCCTTCTCAATACCCGGGCTTGGGCGCTCACAAGTGCTGCCCAGTCAGGCTTACCTGGGCATAAGCCAAGTTCAGCACGGTTTCTGAGGCCAAGTATTGTAGGCGGTACTCCTTGGAGAGGGCCAGAGCCTGCAGCAGCACAGGCATGGCGATGGTCGGGGCGGAAGATCGCCAGTACAGCTCTGCCACTGACAGCAGGACGCTAGCCGCAAAGACAGGCGGGTGAGAGGATGCTCACCACACCTCTGGGGGACAGGGGGCTCACGTGGGGCACCACTTACCTGATCACCATTTCTGTGTTCTTCAACTTTTCACAGTAGGTCAGCAATTTCTGCAAAAGCTTGTGTGCTTCCGTCATTTGATTCTGAGCTTGAAATACAACTGCTTTTCTGAAATAGAATCAAAAGTAATACCACTGGCTAAGTGGAGGGTCAAAAACTGCTGTCACTGAAGTCACGTGATGGGTAAAAAGACGGTAATCTCCCAAAGGAAAAAACTACAATGGGATCTGATATTTTTTGTCAGTAATGGGGCTTGAACTCAAGGCCTGGGCACTGTCTCTTAGCTCTTTTGTTCAAGGCTAGCACTCTACCACTTTGAGCCACTGTGCCACTTCCGGTTTTCAGGTGGTTCATTTGAGATAAGAGTCTCATGGACTTTCCTACCCAGGCTGCCTTTGAACCGGGTTCCTCAGATCTTAGCCTCCTGAGTAGCTAGGGTTATAGGTGTGAGCCACTAGTGCATAGCCAGGATCTACTTTTGGTCAAAAGAAAAAAAATACTATGCAGATATGTTATGTTAAGAGTATATGTACATATAAGAAAAAAGTCTAGAATTACAGCTGTCAGACTGTTCAGGACTGTCTCCAGAGATGGTTATTTTCTTCATCTTACTTATGTACTTTACTTCCTACAATAAAAACTTAAAAAAAGAAAAAAGAAAAAAAAGAAGCTTTGGCTTTTTTACCTAAGGCAAGTCAATGCACACTCCAAACAAAACTGAAGTAGAAGTACAATCATTAAAAAAAAACTCACTTCAGGGCTGGGAAGGTGCTCAGTGGTAGAGCGCTTGCCTCATATGCATGAGGCTCTGGGTTCAATTCTTCAGCACCACATAAAAAGAAAAAGCCGAAAGTGGTGCTGTGGCTCAAGTGGTAGAGCGCTAGCCTTGAGCTGAACAGCTGTTGGACAGTGCCCATGCCCAGAGTTCAGGCCCCATGATCGAAAACAAAACAAAACAAAAAAACCTCACTTCACTCTGGGGCAGCAGCTCCCCAGTTTCTCACCTATAGACACCCTCTATGCTGTTAAGCGCCGTGATCCCGGTAACGAGTGAATCAGCCAAATGAAACTTGCCATCATTCATGGCTCGGTCAAACTGGATTTTCTGATCACACAGCATCCATAACTAGGAGAGAAGGAGAAAGGAAGTAAACACTGCACTACTATGCCACGGCAATGGAATAGTTCAGCTCACTAGCAAATATCTTTACTTTTTCTTTTTTTGGTTGGTCGTGGGGATTGAACTCTGGGCCTGGGCACTGTCCGTAAGCTATTCAGCTCAAGACTAGCGCTCTACCACTTGAGCCACAGTGTCATTTCTGGTTTTCTGAGTGGTTTATTGGAGATAAGAGTCTCCCGGACTTGCCGGGGCTGGCTTTGAATCGTGATCTCAGATCTCAGCCTCCAGAGTAGCTAGGATTACAGCTGTGAGCCAATGGCACCTGGCTCACATTTTTTTTTTTTTTTTGGTCGGCCGTGGGGCTTGAACTCTGGGCCTGGGCACTGTTCCTCAGCTCTTCAGCTCAAGGCGAGCGCTCTACCACTAGAGCTACAGCGCCACTTCCGGTTTTCTGGTGGTTTATTGGAGATAGGAGTCTCACAGTCTCTCCTGCCCGGGCTGGCTTTGAACCGCGATCCTCAGATCTCAACCTCCTGAGTAGCTAGGATTACAGGCGTGAGCCACCAGCGCCCGGCTCACATTTTGTTTTATGACAGTGATTTTTGAAAACTATTAACAGCATGTCAAAAAGCACAGAAACCGGGGCTGGGAAGGTGGCTCAGTGGTAGAGCGCTTGCCTTGCATGCCTGAGGCCCTGGGTTCGATTCCTCAGCACCACATAAGCAAAAAGAAAAAAGCCAGAAGTGGCGCTGTGGCTCAAGTAGTAGAGTGCTAGCCTTGAGCTGAAGAGCTGAGGGACAGCGTCCAGGCCCAGAGTTCAGGCCCCACGACTGGACCCAAAAAAAAAAAAAAGCACAGAAACCTTCATATCAAATACACAGCCAGCCATTTTACCAGTTCCCATTTTGCTCTACGAAGTCCAGCTCTTACATTTTACTGAACTTCCTAGCAAATCCATTTCTTCTCACCCCTTCCAGTGTCTGTCATTCCCATTTCTATATGTTTACAAAGAAATGATATTTTATGCATCCTTTTTTCTCTTCTTCTTCGTGGTGCTAGGGATAGAATGTTAGGGAGGTGTTCTGAAACTGAGCTACAGGCCCTGGCTTCTTAGCTCAGGATTCCCTTTCTGAGGAAGGACTGCAGTGTGCTGGGTTACCTGGGCGTGCTGAGTATTGGGTGGAAACCGTTCCTTCAGGTGCTTCAACACTTCTGCAGCTGCAGCGACACAGCCCTGAAACAGCAAGAGGCGCACTGCAGCGATGGAGTGCAAGCTGGCTGCACAGCCGCCCGCTGCCCTCGGGGCAGCCTGGAACACACCAGGCCGAGACTCGGGCCCGGAAGAGCCATTTCTAGAATGTCTTCATCAACCTTGTATATTAAAAAAGTTCTCTCTCGGGGCTGGGAAGGTGCCTTGTATGCATGAGGCCCTGGGTTCGATTCCTCAGCACCACATAAGCAAAAAGAAAAAAGCCGGAAGTGGCGCTGTGGCTCAAGTGGTAGAGCACTAGCCTTGGGCTGAAGAGCTGAGGGACAGCGCCCAGGCCCAGAGTTCAGACCTCACAACCGGACCCCCCCCCTCCAAAAAATGAGTTCTCTCTCTCTCCCTCCCTCTCCCCCCTCCCATGTAGCTATGATCTATCTCGCTGTGGTGGGGGAGGTGGGGGAGGGTGTTGACTTCAGGGCCCTGAGCCACAGCCTTCTTGGCTTTATTTTTCAGACCATGTTGTGTTTTGGCCAGGTCCTAATCCTCCCACCTCCACATATAGTAATACCCCACACTTGGCTTGTAAATTGTTTTTGAAGGAGCGGGTCATGGGAAGCATGCCTCTGAAGGGGATCAGAGACCCCTGGCTGCTGACGTGAACAGACCCTGTGGCCACAGGCCTAAGGGCCACACAACCGGGCCCTGCAGCCGTGAGCCCACGCCGCCTCTCCTTGTAAATGGAGCATGTCAGGCGTTCCGTCACAGCAGCAGAAGGCTGAGCAGCGCCTACCTGCTCCGAGTGGAGCTCTGCAAGGTGGCACAGGGCGACGGCGAAGGACTCGGTGTTGTTCTGCTGCACGCCCGAGTTCACGGATTCCAGACTGTTCATGCTCAGCAACATCTGGGCTTGCTGCAGGGCCATGGTGCTGGGTGAGGAGAGCGAACAGGATGTGGCTTCAGGCAGCAGACCAGGCTGCCCCTGGCACAGCCTGCAGTTTGTTATCTTCAGAGGAAAGGCGAGGAAGTGACCCCCTCCGGCCGTGTGGAAGCCACCGCTACCTCCCCATGCCCGCTCTCCTGCCCTTGGGCCAAGGAGAGCGGAGAGCATCCTGGGTGAGCAGCCCCCAAGGCAACAGGTGCTCCAAGCTTCCAGACCCCCCTGCCCACCGCCCCCCTCGGCTTTCCCTGAGGACACAGTAATATTAATTAGGTTTCACGGGTAAATTCGGACCCGATGCCATCCTGGCACCGGCTGCTCTGGCAATGCAGGCAGTGGCCAGTGTCGGCAGCTGTCTCAAGAGCACATCGTGCCAAAAAATTATCTGAAATACAAAAAGAAGACTGGTAAAAAGGCACTTGTTTCATTACTGAATTCCTAGAAAGGGCAGATTGTCTAGGAGAAGGGGTGACATGGCTCCAGAGGAGAATCTGGTTCAGAGGCTGAATTCCAAGCTACAGCTCGCTACGTAGAAAAGGAATACCAGGCTGGAATATTCCAGAGAAAACACTTTGGCAAACAGAAAAGCAGCTCTATACAACAGCTGTGGGGGAGGGGAGCGGGGGAGTCCGGCGTGGGCAGGACGGCCATGCAGCATGCAAACAGGGAGGAAAAGTTCTTGTCTCAAGACAGAGGAACTTGTGGTGGGGGTCAGGTGAGCAGGGCCCACTGGTCCACCACACCTGTGATCTTGAACAGCCTGGAGATGTGTGAGCCAGAACGGAGACCCCTTCCAGCTACTCACAGAGCAGCTGGGATGAGTAATAATGTGCGTGCAGGGGGGAAAAAAACAAACAAAAACAAAAAACAACTTTGCCAAGTCTACAGGAACCTCTTCTAAAGCACAGTCTTTGATCCACTGCACGAGTAACTTCCAAAGGGGGAAAACCTTGTACAGAACCAGTCTGCTAGCTCCTGCTCCTCGCTCTGGACGCTTCACGCCCTCCAGGGCCTGGGCGGTCGGCTGGAGGACTTACCTGCGGCCGTACAGCCTCCAGATGGCCGTTTTCTGGGCAATGCTGATGTCGATGAGCTCGGACAGGCTGTGTTTCCAGTGCAGGAGGTCCGAGTCCTTCAGGGCATCCATCAGCTTGTTGGCTGTCTTCCCAGCAAACGCTCTCTGTTGAACAAGGGACTGTATCCCCAGGGAGGCGAGGTACTAAGGGGACAGATATACCCACCACCCAAGATAGAGATTACACGACAGAATTCGTTTCGCTCTTCAGAAATGTGGTGGATTTCACATTTCCGCACATGCACAGTGATAGCTCTACTTATAAGGAAAGTGCCTAAGCCTGACCTCAGCCCTGTCCCGTGTGAGGTGCTCCTGAAACTCTAGGGCTGGAAGAGAAGCAGAGGGCAACACAACAGAGCCAGGGCTTTGGCATTAGTTGGACCTGGACTTAAGACACTGCCTCTGCTACTTACGGTGTGACTTAGGGCCAGTCACTTAGCTTCTTAGCTAAGCCTCAGCTTCCTCATCTGTAAAATGGGCATCAAACCTATCATAAAGAATTGTCATAAGGGTTACAATGAAATCATAGGTCAAACAGTGCAGGGCACACGAGACAATAGGCGACCAAAAAAGAGCCTGTCACGAGCAACAAGTGATCCTCTCACTGACTTCTATGCTCAACTCAAAAAGGTAGTCCAAAGCCTAGGGGAAGAAGTATTTTTAGGAAGTCTCACTTAGTGTTTCCAAGAGCCACTTCAGATTTGAGTATGTCATGTTCTCCCCAGACTGCATCGTGCACTAGGCATTATATTTTCATAACTAACTACTTTTAATTTTTACTAAGGTTTTTTTTTGTCTTTTTTGGGGGGGGAGGGGCAAACTTTCTAAGATTGTTTCCACAGTCCCACTACCTATGGTCCTCTTTTCAACCCACATTTCTCAGCTAGAGTAAGGTTCTTTGAGCAACAGTGATCTAGAGGCTCACAGTCCTGACTGCTTCCTGTGTACAGACATTCCTTTCCATGCATCCAGTGCCTGTCACTGAGACTCTACCTCAGGCCCTGCTCTAGTATTCGTGAAAGAAAGAAAGGACAGGCCTGTCCACGGGTTTGCTGGTTCCTGGCTTTATTGTTTAAAACAAGGATTAGCAAATTTTCCCTAGAATAAATGAGTTTGCTTGGGACAGACTTGCCTTTCATTGCTTCCCATCCTACCATTTAAAAACAGAAAACCCGCACTCACTTTGAAAGGCCATACATAAGCAGGCAACCCACGACATCTGTACCATAAGCTGGAAGATTTGCCAACCCTTGATTTAAAAAATAAGACTCTTCTAGGGTTGGGTGTAACTCAATGGTAGAGAACTTGCCTAGCATTCTTAAAAGCCCAGCACACATGCAAAAAGGCTTTACTAAAATTTTCTAAAATGTTCCTAAGTGAATATATGGTAAGTAAATGTTGCTCAATAAACTAAGTAGAGATCTCTCATTGAATTGATAAGTGGAGCTTTCACAGATGTTATTAGAATAGAGAGAACAGAGAATTTAGTGTTTTGATTAATAATTAAAGTCATAGGAAAGGACCCAGAGCAAAGCCACACATGGCAATATCCATGCTAACTGTATCACTGGTCATGACGAAGACGGGTGGCAAGAGACAAGGCTCAACACCACTATGGAAGCAATCTCACAGAAAGATGAGCCTTACCGGTAACCCAAAATGTACTGCCTTCTTCACTGAGTGCTCCAGCAGAACATAGCTATCAGATCTCTTCTGCCCCAGGACATAAAGCCAGCTCTGGCAAGAGACAATCAATTGTCAAAATGTATCATAACAACAGCAATGGCAAATGTTCCAGTGAAATATCAACGCGGTCACAAGAAAGAACTAAAAGGGGGCAAAAAGAAGCACTCTCAAATACTTGCTTAGGATCTAGGAATCTAAATGAAATCTCTCCAACATACTAAGACCATTAAAGCCAGACTGAAATAAATAAGCCATGGATCTGCTTCAGTGCTCTGCCAGCTGTGGACAGCTGTTTGAAAGCATAAAGCCCCCATGCGGCCATTCACTGAGACACGGGATGACCAGGCAGCAGTCAGGTGACTCTACTCTCCCGTGCCTAGGGCTCATGCTTTTACAGAACAATATCTCACTGTGCTACTAGGTGCAGCACACCTCTTTTCGTTAATGCCAATACTACACGTGGTAGTTAGTTTACTTTTATGGGGCAAGTGGCATCATAGATGGGAAACACCCCCCAGACAGAACAAATGCCATGAAACTGAGAAAGGTCACCGGCTGTGGGCAGCCCTCTCTCAACAACATGGTGCTTCAGTGCTTTCCCCTCACTTGCGCCAGCTGTGCAATAACCCGGTTCCAATGGGGCCTTCCGAAGGCCAACTCAACCCGCGAGCACACTCCCCAGCCCGGAGGACGGCCTCACCAAACAGTGCTGGAGACACACGTGGTCGTTGGACTCCTGGGCAATCCTAATTGCCTCCTGCAGGGCGAGCTCTGCCTGTTGGCTGACGACAGACTGCACATTAATACCCACAAGCAATCACAAGCATGCACAAGCAAGGGCAGGCGGGCAGGCGCCTCACGGACCTCCAACCTCAGGGCTCTGGGCTGGGCACTGAAAGGACCCAGGGGCAGCCATGAGTGACAGCAGGCCATACTTGCCAAAGGGTCCAGACCGGGGCCTCTCAAGGGAGAATGTGTAAAGGAGGGAAGGAAGACACAGCCTTTTCTCTCCCTTTACAAGTTTATGTCAGATGTCCAGAGCTGGGGAAGGGCAGGAGGGAACTAACACTTTATTCCACGCTGACTTTCCTTCTGCATTGCTTTTTTTTTTTTCTAACTATGAACACGTGCTACTTTTATCTTTCTTTTTTTTTCCCCAAAAACTAGTTTACAAAGTATTTTCCAGTTAGATGGGTTTTTTTCATACTCATGTAGCTGTCCGCCATCTGGAATGTGTTCCGAACCTCTCAGCTTGTGTGAAGACAGGCCCCATATCACCTCCGACAGCACCTCAGAAGGCTAAGCGAACCACTCCTATCTAGCACCTCGTGACTCATTTCCTTAACGACTCCATAGCCTCCTGATGGCTCACGCCAGACCCCATTGTTTTGGGACTTACTGACACCAGGCCACTGACAATCTTTAATAAGGACCAGAAAATCTTGGGAGTCACTCACCGAAGGAAAAATTTACATAATAAATTTTCTTCCAACATCAATAAAAGCCAAGTCATTTTAATTTGGTGGAGCTGATTTTTTTTCCCCTTTAACTGTTCAAGGAAATAAATTAAGTACATTTTCTTAAAACCTATTTTTTTGTTCTTTTGGTTGGTCTTGGGGCTTGAACTCTGGGCCTGGGTGCTGTCCCTCAGCTCTTCAGCTCAAGGTTAGCACTCTACCACTTGAGTTACAGCGCCACTTCTGGTTTTCTAGTGGTTTATTGGAGACAAGTTTCACAGACTTTCCTGCCTGGGCTGGCTTTGAACCGCAATCCTCAGATCTCAGCCTCCTAAGTAGTTAGGATTACAGGCATGAGCCACCGGCGCCCGGCTTTAAAACTTTTTTGTATTTCTTTTCAGTCCCTTTGGAGGCAGACCCTGTCTGCAATTAAGAGCTGAGGATCACGATGTGAGGCTTAAGAAAGACTGAAATACCCATGCCATAGAAATGTAAAAATACATATGCTCCAACAGAACTAAAAAGCTCTTTTTTTCAGCAAGAAAAGGTACATTACCAACACAAAAAAAGTCAGACAAATCCCTGAAGGATCTTCTGGGAAACCAAAAGAGCCTTTCTTTCATCATTGCTAATCTAAAATTCCCTACTAAAAGTTTTCAATGAAAGAACGAGAGGCAAACTGGTTATAATATCTGAAACAGACTTCTAGGAGACCCCTACCGCAGGGCTTTTGCACCTGCTCTTCTGGTTGACATGAAAAGCTTCTTCCGGAATCATGCACAGGGTATTCAACACCTTGAAGTTCTTTGCATCTTTGTTCAAATAATAGGTAAGCAGAGACCAGGGAAGGCTGATCTGCTGCCTTAGTACTTAAAGAAAAGGAATCAGAACTGGGGTAGGAATATTCCTGGGGAAGTAACAACAACACTCTGTCCCTACATTCTGTCACTCGCCAAGTCCATCACTGGGCATCACAGCTCTGCTCAGTCCTGACCGTCACCTGGCAGCTATCAGCACCACATCCCTAGCACCAGAATGTGCCTAGAACACAAGATGCTCAAAGAACAAACATCAGACTTTTAAGGAATTCCCACAATCCCCTTCGCTGAGTGATAGGGCTTGACCCGAGGTCACAGATCCAGGACCAGAAACAAAGGTATGGGCAGCTGAGCAAGTCAGGAATGAAGAATAAAGACAGTAATGAAAACCCACCTTTCCTCACTAGTTATCTATCTAGCGACAATATCATAAATGTAAAGACATTCTGTATATCAAATATCTGTGTCAAGGAAGCTGTGAACATATGGCCGCACCCTGGGAAGCAGTTATACACGATGTAAAAATTGAAGACTCTTGGTATACAGTGCTTGTCTAGCTAGCACACATGAGACCCTGGGTTCCATCTATGAGGGAGAGAGGGAAGAGGAGAGGAAGGAAGGAGGGGAGGGAAGAAGGGATGGAGGGAAGGAAGGAAGGAGAGAAGGAAGGAGAAAGGAGATGATTAGGAAGCCTGTAATCCTAATCAAGAAGCTGAGAGCTGGACGCTTGTGGCTCAGGGCCAGCGTGGGCAGAAAAGTCCATGGGACTCTTTCCTGAAGGTGACTAGTAAAAAAGTAGGGTGAGAGGCATGGCTCAAGGCACAGATCACCAGCCTCACAAGCATGAGGCCCTGAATTAACCCCTAATACCATCTCCCCAAAAGAGAGAGACTATTAGGGCAAGGGTTTAAGTCTAACAAGCACAAAGCCCTAAATTGAAATCACAAATTAAAGAGAAAGAGAGAGAGAGAGAGAGATTAAAGCTAGATGGCAAAGAAAAGTTAGTTATTATAAAATATTAGGAAAATCTTGAAAGATTGTTTGGAGTATCCTTAACGATTCTCAGGTACAACTATCGATCTGCTGCCTGAATTTACTTGATGACACCCCTGGACACATGCTCTCAGAGGGAGCCTGGGCCCGCTCTCCGCATTCTCCAGCCGTTACCACCAATCCAAAGCCGTTCACCCATGAAGACGCCAGCACATGCTGGCCTCCTACGGCACCCTCAGGTCCTCCCAGATTGTCCGTGTGGCCCGGCTGGAAACACCCTGACCAGCTCCCATCAAGCCCCACACAAGCTCCAGTTTGTCCATAGCTCTGAAGTCTGAAAACCAGAAATGAATAGAATTCCCTGAAATTAGCAGAATTGCCTCACCTACATACAAGTCTGTATTTTTTTTTTTTTGGGTCCAGTCGTGGGGCCTGTACTCTGGGGCCTGGGCGCTGTCCCTCAACTCCTCAGCTCAAGGCTAGCGCTCTACCACTTGAGCCACAGCGCCACTTCCGGCTTTTTTCTTTTTGCTTATGTGGTGCTGAGGAATCGAACCCAGGGCGCAGGCATGCAAGGCAAGTGCTCTACCACTGAGCCACCTTCCCAGCCCAAGTCTGTATTTTTGACCCTGGATGCTTGTCACATTAATATACCTAAGCTCTGAAAGGCCTGGACCAAAGACTACATTTTTTTTTTTTAATTGTGAAAACACCATACAGAGGAGTTATAATTACATAAGCAAAGAGACTACATTTTATTCAACTGCGAAAAAGCTGGGAGGAGGGGGCAGTAAAACTCATTCAATTAGTAACTTCCTAATCTTACCACTATTCAATATTATTCCAGTTTCTAAGAGCCTCCATGTGCTATTTTAATAGTCTAACTCTATTTACTAATGACTGATTGTCCTATTTTTACTTATTATTTTTACACAGGCAAAAGGTGAAAACAAAAAGCCACAGGTGCACCTTAGCAATAACCTAAACCAGTGGCACCACCTGGGCTCCTTGGACCACGTCAGGCCAACGAGACTTCAAGCTGAGCAATCTATCTTCCAGTAGGGCCTAACTTTCTTTTGGTTTTTAAAATACTGAAAATAGTTTCTGCAGCCCCATTATTAGCTCCAAAAAGTCCTTTTGGGAATCTCTGGCCTAATGACCTAATTATTCCTTTCATTGAACCGCGCTAGACTAGAAGTATTGAACGGGAGGCAGGCAGTAATGCTGCGTGGGGACACCAGGGGGCACACTGCCTAGACAAAAGGTTTTCTTATCGTTTGTTCCAAGGCAGTGAGTGCCAAGTCCAGGTCGAAGAGTCACTTGTTTTTCTTATTATTTTTTTTTAAACAACTAATTTTTAGGACAAATTTCCATCAACACTGGAGAATTTGTCTCTTCCACCTGCATGGCAGATGTGTGCAGACTTACTAGTGACCGAAGCGGCAGTGCAGGGCAGCCAGGTTCAGGGCGGCGTATCTCAGGCTCCGACCATAGCCCTCTTCCCCGTTACTTTTGCTCTCGGCCCCAGTGAGAATCAGGCGGTCAAAATAATGAAGGAGGCTGTGTGTGGAGCTGAAGACATCTTGTACGCGGAGGTTGTTTAAGTAGCTGAGATAATGCTAAAATGAAAAGTAATCAGCACAGGTTAGAGTGCTCCTCCTCATGCACAGGACGGATGTGGAGAGTCCTGTGGGCTGCGGACACCATCTGCGGACACCTGAGACGTGATGTTGGTCGTTAGCTTACAGGAAGAAGAAAAGTGACCTGGTTCATTAGTTTCACCAATTCCATTAGTGGTGTGTCAGCCCTGACATTGACAGGCCCACTTTACTCCTGAGGGCGAAATCGAGGTAGCAGACCTCACCTAGCTGAGGGATGAAGGATGTGAGCTCAAAATAAAGATCTTAAACTCTGAACTCATGCAGAAATTAGAAAATCAGTTTTTCTAAATGTCCAAATTAAAACACATACAAAAACAAAAAAGAGAGGGCTGGGAATGTGGCTTAGTGGTAGAGTACTAAAACCCTGGGTTTCAGGAGGAGCTTTGCAACCTATGCTGTCACTTTCCAACGTTTCTTTCAAGAACTGAGGACAGTAGATGGACCTTCACTTGTGTGGCCACTCGACACCTGGGGAGCCCGACCATCCCTTCCAACTCGGCAGCCAGGCCACGGGTGACTCACCGCTTCAGCAAAATCAGGATTAAATTTCAACAAGTTGTTCAGTTCTTTCTGCAAGGAAGCTGGGGCAAGGGCTTTCGTCTCATCATTCTTCAACAACGAAGCCTGAAATTATACAATGACAACTCAGCACCAAGAAAGAGCCAAAAAGCATTTGGGCTGGCTAGAACTCAGGATCTTCTGCCTCAGCCTCATGAGTGCTGTGCCCCACCATGCTTGGCTGATCTTTTCTGAAGCACTTCCTCAACCTGGCTCTCTGCTCACCAGCTTTAGTGGCCTTACTCCAGAAATACTGAATACACAGCCAACCACACAGTCCTCACCAGACTTAACTCTGTGTCCTCTCCCTGAAACTCCAAGCCTCCCAAACATCTCCCCCAATGCACATTCTCTTCCCAGGCCTGGTAAACCTATCCCCATGCTAGCTCATCCCGCAGCCCCTGACTGACACTTGAGGCCACCGCTTCTACCACTTTCTAAGCCCCTACATGCTCCCCTAGACCTCTACACCTTCCCTGCCTGCAGCTCTGATGCACTCCAGGAAATCTGCACCTCTGGCCAACTCAGACTGCAAACTCCTTCTCAGCAGGTGATATATTTTGCCCTATCTCAGGCACCTGCAGGCGCCCTGCCCCACACCCAGTTCTGTCATGAGGGTGGTACATACAATTACATATCACGTGTTGCTATAGTTCAGGTGTTGAATGTTTCGTGAAGGCCTTGCCCCCCATCCCGTCTGTGGTAGTAGGGCCTAACGGGAGGTACTTAAGTCACTAGAGGTGACTCTCAAAGAGGAATGCGGAAGCTATGTGGAGATGACTCACTCCCATACATGATATGCCACCCTCACCACAGCCCCAAACCCACAGGGCCCCCTGATCAGAACCTAAATCTCCAGCAGTCAGCCAAAGTAAATGACTCTTTCCTTCCTAAGCACACTGTATCTGGTATTTCATGATGGTGATGCAAAGCTAATACATATATAGAAAATTAGTTCCTAATTAAACATTTATACTAATATGAGATATAGACAATTTACTCTAGGCAAGTTTTCCCATAAATAGCAGTAAATCCTTTTCTTTTTATTTTATTTTTTTGAGTATTTTTGCAACAGGGTCTTGCACCATGTAGCCAGGCTGGCATGTGCCTCCCACCTCAGCCTCCAAAGTACTGGTATTAAAAACAACTAGTGGGGCTGGGAAGGTGGCTCAGTGGTCGAGCGCTTGCCTTGCATGCCTGAGGCCCTGGGTTCGATTCCCTCAGCACCACATAAGCAAAAAGAAAAAAGCCGGAAGTGGGGCTGTGGCTCAAGTGGTAGAGTGCTAGCCTTGAGCTGAAGAGCCGAGGGACAGCACCCAGGCCCAGAGTTCAGGCCCCACAACCGGACCCAAAAAAACAAAACAAAACAAAACAAAAAAAAAACAAGTAGTCACAGCAGGGTGCCGGTGGCTCACACCTATCATCCTAGCTACTCATGAGGCTGAGATCTGAGGATTGTGGTTTAAAGCCAGCCCGGGCAAGAAAGTCTGTGAGACTTTTATCTCCAATAAACTACCAGAAAAACTGGAAGTGGCATTGTGGCTCAAGTGGTAGAGGGCTTGCCTTGAGCTGAAGAGCTGAGGGACAGCACCCAGGCCCAGAATTCAAGCCCCACGACAAAAAACAAACAAACAAACAAAAAAAGTAGTTACATTTCTAATTTGTTTTAATTTATTATAGCATTATAGAAAACTTGAAAGAACAGCAATTTTTATCCTGACACCTAAGGACAATATTGTTAATATTTCACTATACCTTATCCTAGTCCTTTGGTTAGGATGTGATTACATGTAATTCACACGTGGATACATATACACACATGCACACTTCTATCAGTGTGAGAACACGATCATTTTATTCCTTCTAAATTTATATATTGTAATCTGTCTCATGATCAAAGCTCTTTAAAATTATTTCTAAAAGGATTAACCCCTCACACATTTATTGCAGAATCCTTTACTTTTAGCTTGTCTTTTCATTTTGATAGAGCATGTTATCACATGCACACATTTTATACTGAAAAGCAAATGATCTTATTTTCTCCCATAGCTTTTATGTTGAGGCACCACCCAGAGATCAGTTAAAAGTTAATATATAGTTCCTTTGGTCTAATTACAGCTTTAAGCACTTATGTTTAACCCTTTAATCCATCTCTAAATTCACCAGGTGTGCTGGCGAGCTTAGGATCCAACTAGCCAGTATTTCTTCTCATAGCAAACCAACCATATAGGCAGAATGACCGACCTACCTTCCTTCCTTTTGTGTCAGTACTGCAGCTTGAACTCAGAGCCTGGGCACTGACTGTCCCTTAGCTTTTTCACACAAGGTCAGAGCTCTACCACTTGAGCCATAGGTCCACTTCCAGCTTTTTGGTGGTTAACTGGAGATAACCTGGGAGATGCCAGGTGCTGGTGGTTCACACCTATAATCCTAGCTACTCAGGAAGCTGAGATCTGAGGATCGAGGTTCAAAGCCAGATTGGGCAGGAAAGTCCCTGAGACCTATCTACAATTAACCACAAGAAAACTCAAAGTGGTGCTGTGGCTCAAAGTAGTAGAGTGCTAGCCTGCAGCAAGAAAGCTCAGGCACTGTGCCCAGGCTCTGAATTCAAGCCCCATGACTGACCAACCTAATAAAAAAAAAAAAAAATCTCTTGAATCTGTCTGCTCTGGCTTCAAATCTGGATCCTCAGAACTCAGTCTCCTGAATAGTCAGGATGACAGGCGTGAGCCAACCAAGTGGCAGCTCAACTTATCTTTACATTTGAAAATACAAAAAAATTAAAATGTTGGGACAAGAAAATAAAGTCTAAACTATATGTTTTGGTCTACTGGTGATACACCATTACTAAGTGAACTTGAAGTAACAATTTAATAGAAAAATAAAGTCACACAAAGAAGAGACACACAGCTGTAACCACATACTGTGGGGGATGGAGTGCATAGGGCCATGCAGGTAACTAACTTGCTAATGACAGGGATATGCCAAGATCCAGGGCTGCACAGGAGAAAAGAAGGGATTGGTTAACCACAAAATTAACATACCTGCTGAGAAAGGAAAAACTCTGCTTGCTTTTGGGATAGAGGCCCACTGCAAGATACCTCTTCTTCTCTGGAAATAAAAGCAAAAATAATAGACAGGAGTCACACAGAGTGAAAATGATAAAATCTGCAAAATTACACACTCATGCATCAGAAAAAACTCAAGGGATCGTTCAGGCCCTGAGTTCAAATGCCATTGACAAAAACAGAGAGGGAGGGCTGGGAAGGTGGCTCAGTGGTAGAGTGCTTGCCTTGGATGCTTGAGGGCCTGGGTTCAATTCCTCAGCACCACATAAGCAAAAAGCCGGAAGTGGTGCTGTGGCTCAAGTGGAGCTGAGGGACAGCGCCCAGACCCAGAGTTCAGGTCCACGACTGGACCCAGAAAAAAAAAAAAAAGAGACAGAAAGTAAACTGGTAGGCTAGAGTTTTTCTTTTTCTGTTCTTTTCTTTTCTTTTTGCCAGTCATGGTGCTTGAACTCCGGGCCTGGACACTGTTCTCTTGTTCAATGCTAGTGCTCTCCCACCAGAGCCAAAGCTCCACTTTCAACTCTTTCTGAGTAGTTTATTAGAGGTAAGAGTCTCATGAACTTTGCTGCCCAACTACCTTTGAACTGGGATCCTCAGATCTCAGCCCCTGGAGTAGCTAGGATTTTAAGCATGAGATACAGCACCTGCCTTAATAGGCATGTTTTTGGTTTTGTTTTTTGCAGGTCCTGGGGCTTGAACTTATAACACGGGTGTTGTCCATGAGCTCCCCCCAATTTTTTTCTGTTGGCCGTGCGGCTTAAACTCTGGGCCTGGGTGCTATACCTCAGCTCTTCAGCTCAAGGTGAGTGCTCTACCACTTGAGCTGCAGTGCCACTTTGTTTTTGAATGGTTAATTTCAGATAAGAGTCTCACCAGGACTATTTTGCCTGGGCTGACTTCCAACTGTGATCCTCAGATCTCAGCCTCCTGAGTAGCTAGGATTACAGGTGTCAGCCAACAGCACCAGCTAATTTAATAGGTTTTTAAGGATTAAAAGACAAGGGCTGGGAAGCTGGCTCAGTGGTGCTTGCCTTGCATGCATGAGGCCCTGGGTTTGGTTCCTCAGTACCAAATAAGCAGAAAAAGCCAGAAGTGGTGCTGTTGCTCAAGTGGTGGAGTGCTAGCCTTGAGCTAAAGAGCTGAGGGACAGCGCCCAGGCCCTGAGTTCAGGCCCCATAACTGACAAAAAAAAAGATTAAAAGTCAGCTGGACTTGAAGTCCTTACAGGACCGGTATCCTTGCCAGAAAGGCCTAAATTACCTCACAGATACATCGAGTTCTTCCTTTTCCATTTTCCTTTCGCCTTCCTCTCGACTGGCCAGTTCCATATCAGCATCCTCCACTGTCTTTTTCTCGCCACTCTGGAAGTACTGTTGGAGGGCGGTGTACAGTTTAAATACTTGACTGAAAGAAAGCTTACTGTAGGCCAAGATCATGTGACGCAGAAACAAGCCTACAAAATAAGACCACAGACAAGGGGAAGGCATTAACGGATATTCATCTACACAATGGTGATAACTTTTGTCACCATTCTACCTTCCACAGAATCAGACCCTCGCAGGTGCGTTCCCTCATCCTTCACAAAGCTGGTCTCCTCTTCATTCAACGATTGGTCCCTCCCCTCTCCAATTCCCTATCTCTTGTCCCTCATTAATTTCGTCGTGGCTACTGCGACTCCCTGTAATGGCCACGTTTATTGGTGTGCTTTTTACATCCTGGCTCTGCTCCGCCTCCCAAAACCCAGTCTCTGTAAGAGGAAAATCCACATCTGTCTTGTACTCCAGAGCCTGGCACACAGTAGATCCGTCAATAAGTGATGTTGAATAATATAAAAATGGTCATGCAGAAAAGCGAGAGGGATGGAGCATTGGTTCAAAGCTTAGTGGCAAAGAGTCACGTACATGCTCACTTGGTGTACTGCAGCAACAGCATGAAGTACTTACCTCGCCTCCTAAGTGACTGGTGCCCATCACTTACAGTTGCACAATGTAGGCAAGTGATCCAGAGGGACTGTAGAAAGAGCTGGGAAACCCCACAGACCCCAGGACCAAGCTCAAAGTCTGACCATTGTAGACAAAAGAGAGGGGGTGCTTTTCCACAAGTTAATGATTGTTCAGTAGAGATTAAAGCGCATGGCAATAAATACAAACAACAGGTTCAACACCCCTGTTGTGTTTGCTCACAGACAGAGAAGACTAATGACAGATGTCATATAGAAAACTGCTCCCCTCCCTGAAAAGACTCTCTGCTCTTCTTACAAGAGTGGCATACCTACTACACTTGTTTTGTGAACCTCTGGTTCAGTTCCAGAAAAAGAATCTGAAAGGTCATCAAAAAATTGTTCCATATCCTTCAATTCGCCTTCAGCCATCAGTTTGATTCTGAATGAGAAAATTGAGGTGCATATTTTAGGAAGTCCCTTTGAACATCTGCCCACGATTCAAATTCTTCCATTACCTACAATAAGCTTATTTCCAAGGCGATTCAGAGATTGCTATAAAACTGTGGCACATAAAATAAACTTCATAACTAAAAAGGTCACTCCCCATATTTTTAATAAACATGCAGTGCTATTTTTTTTAAATCGTAAAATCTCTCAAAGTAGCCTATCATAAAAAGGAGGTAGACTCATATTGAATATGAAAAATAAAGTTGCAAAATTATATGTTTAATGTTATACATTTTTCAAAAAAATAAAAACAAAGGGAAAGATAGGGGGAACAATGACTTTTTTTTTTTAATTACCACACACCCTTTGTGCTTTTCATCCACCTCGATGCCTTTTTGTACATACAGAAAAAAATGAAGTTTACCTGATCTGCACTGAATTTGCCAGCTGAGGACAAGATTCTTCAATTAACTTGTATAGTTTTGACAGTGTAATATCGGGACCCTGAAAAAAGGAGAAAGGAAAGTTACAGGTAAACAGTGAAGAGCTGAGACTGTTAAGGATCTACAAACTCAAATTCATTTACTCACCTCTCTGCTTTAACAATCATTCTAAACATGAGCTCTCAAATTAAGATTTTCCGATCTACCCAAATCACCTTAGTGATATTTCACACTTGGATACTGTTTTTGGGTAGGCAGTGGAATGGTGTAAAATGGAGGGAAAAAGCATAGGATTTATAGAACATGCCTTCCCATCTTTGTAATCAGGGCAAATTTAAGTTCTTTCAGTGCATTCCCACCCCCTTCCCAATGTGTCCTTAGCAGTTTATAAAGAAGGTACTTAAACCAGGCACTGGTAGCTAACACCTGTCCTAGCTACTCTTAAGGCTGAGATCTGATTATCATGGTTTGAAGTCAGCCAGGCAGGAAAGTCTATCTATCTTTAATTAATCACCCCAGAAAAGCTAAAAGTGAAGCTGTAGCTAACTTCAAATGCTAACCATGAGCAAAAAAGCTCAGGGACACACTACGTCCAGGCCAAATCCAAGCCCCAGGACTAGCACACACACAAACAACAAAGCACGGTGCAGAATAGTGTATACCTATAATGTGCATAATTACAACCATCTAGAAAGACCCATTCAAAACTGTGACCCAACAAATAGATGAATGAGTCAATACTGATGATAATCTCTAAAAATACTGGAAGGCATGGAGAACCATCATCATCTTCCATTCCATCACTATCCGCATTACTTTAAGGTTTTTGTTTGTTTTTTTAAACAATAAACCTTTGTGGACTGGTTGAGTGGTTCAAACAAAATAATTTTAAAAGTCAAAGAGTAAAGCAATGTAAGACTGGTTGGAATGTTACTAATTTTATATGCACTTTGATTAAAACCATATAGTAGTTACACAGTCAAGGAATTAGTATTCCATACAGAAATTTAAAAAATAAAATAAAAATGTTGTGTTTAGGACAATGAGAACTGAGGGGGAAAAAAAAAACCATGAAAGTGTTTAACACACAGCGCCTGATCCACACTATTAATGCTTTAATTACAATTCTCTATGGCAAGAAAACTGTGTTGTATGGATGCATCCCGGTGTCCCCAACACCCAGGACTATTATTCGTAGGCCGAATTTACAGAAGACAAAGGATCTGAGATTGTAACGCTGCTCCAATCACTCACAGAGTAAACAGTGGAGCGAGACGCGAACCTGCAAAAGAAACGCAGCCGGGCAGCCGGGCCCAGCTCGTGTCCCACCCCCCGCCACCCCCGCGCCCGCAGGTTCCGCTAGGCCCGGGCGGTGGCCCGTCCCGCGCCGCGCAGGCCCTCGCCCAGTCTGCTGCGGGCGCGCGAGCCGGCGGGCGCCCCTCACCTGCAGCAGCGGCAGGAGCAGCTGGTTGAGCTTCCGCCGCTCCAGGAGGCTGACGGCGCCCTCGCCCGTGCGGCCCATCTCGTTCAGCAGCACCAGCACCGCGATCTTATATGGCGTCACCCAGTCCTTGATGCCAAACAAGTTGGCGTGCACCACGCCGTTGGTCATCATGGGACTGAAGTTAGGCTTTTGTGGACGCTCGCCATGGCGGTCCCTCCGAGAAGACTGAATCTCCTCGGAGGGACCGCCACGCGTAGCGTCCAACACTCGCCTTAGGCCATCTCGCAACCCGCCATACCACAACCCACCCTTCACTTCCGTCCGCCAGAGAAATAGCCCCGGAAGTTGGCGATCTCCTGCTTGCGACGTGCTGACGACCAATCATAGAACACAATAGAATGATGTAGCCAATCAGAATGCCCAGAAGCGCGGTGAGGGGTGGGGCAAATGTAATGTACCAGAGGCTGATTCCCTATAAAAACATTTGCCAAAGGAAAAGCGGTTTCTCTGTCGACGTGGAAAAGGAGAGTGGAGAGTCGTAGCCTGAGTTCAGGCCCTGAAGGGTTTGAGAGGTGCTTGCCTCCGTTTCTTCATTTAACTTGAAAACAGTTCAAATTGCACTTAAAAATGATGCAGGGCTGGGAAGGTGGCCCAGTGGTAGAGCGCTTGCCTTTCATACATAAGGCCCTGGGTTCGATTCCTCAGCACCACATAAGCAAAAAGAAAAAAGCCGGAAGTGGCACTGTAGCTCAAGTGGTAGAGAGCTAACCTTGAACAAAACAAAAAAAAATGATGTAGCATATTCAAACAAGGGCTTTATTTAGCGCCTTTGTCTTTTAATTTGTTCGACTTATTTTATTTGTTTATTGCCGGTCCTGGCGCTTGAACTCCGCCTGGGCACTGTCTCTGAGCCTCTCTGTGCTCAAGGCTAGCACTCTACCACATGAACCACAGCACCACTTCCGGCCTTTCTGTTTATGTGGTGCTGAGGAATCGAACCCAGGGCCTCATGCACGCCAGGCAAGCATTCTACCACTGAGCCACCTTCCCAGACCCCTACATATCTTTTTTTTTTTTGGTCCGGTCGTGGGGCCTGAATTCTGGGCTTGGGCGCTGTCCCTCAGCTCTTCAACTCAAGGCTAGCACTCTACCACTTGAACCTCAGTCCCACTTCTGCCTTTTTCTGCTTATGTGGTGCTGAAGAATCGAACCCAGGGCCTCATGCATGCAAGGCAAGCACTCTACCATTGAGCCACCTTCCCAGCTACATATCTTATTTTATACTTTTTTTTTTTAATGTGACGGTCTAGAGGCTTGAACTCAGGGCCTGGATGCTGTCCATGAGCTTTTGTGGTCAAGGCTAACATCCTACCACTGGAGCCACAGCTCTACTTCTGGCGATAAGATAACGGAGTCTAATGGAACCGTGATCCTCAGATCTCAGCCTCCTGAGTAGATAGGATTACTGGCCTGAGCTGTGGATGCCAACCAATCCTACTGGTAAAGACTTATTCTAGGGGCTGGAAAGGTGGCTCAGTGGTAGAGCGCTTGCCTCGCATGCCTGAGGCCCTGGGTTCGATTCCTCAGCACCACATAAGCAGCTCAAGTGGTAGATCGCTGAAGAGCTGAGGGACGGTGCCCAGGCCCAGAGTTCAGGCCCCACGACCCGACCCAAAAAAAAAAAAAAAAGACTTATTCTATTGCATGCAAGTCTGGTCCTAGAGGAGGCTCGAGGTCATCACAGAGTGTGGCTGGCGCAAAAGTTTTTCCGAATAAAATCCGAGGCCCTGGATATTTTTGTTGTTGTTTTGTCGGTTGTCGGTCTTGAACTTGGCTTGGGCGCTGTCCCTCAGCTCTTCGGCTCACGGTGAGCACTCTACTACTTGAGCCACAGCGCCACATCCGGTTTTCTGAGTGGTTAACTGAGATCAGTCTCAGACTTTCTTGCTCGGGAAGGCTTTGAACCGGATCCTCAGATCTCAGCCTCCAGAGTAGCAAGGATTACAGACGTGAGCTATGGGCACCCGGCTCCTGGATGGTTTTTAACAAAAGCCTTCAAACGACCTTGTTTTCAAATTCAACGCTGGTCTTCATGCCTCCCCGCCCCTCTTCCAGAGAACTTAACCACCCACCCCACAGAGTCAATGGTGCCCAGAAGATTGCTCAGGTAAGGAACCCATTTGCACCTTCCAACTGAGAAAACGGCGCCTCCCGCCACGCCCGGGCCCGCCCAGGCCAGCTCCAGACCTCCCGCGCCCACCCAGCTGAGCTGAAAGTCCCGCCCAAGCCCCCAAGTTTTATTGGTTCCCGTGCCCGGCCCCCTCAGTGTACGCTTCTGATTGGTCTTCTTGGCCGCCGTTCTCTCGTCTTGCGGGCGGGTCGTGCGCGGAGCGTGGCCACGCCCATTACGTCGAGACGCTCAGCGGCTTTCGGGAGGCACCGTAATCGCCGCCTTCTGGAAGGAAGGAGGTCGGCTGTTAGGAGCTGCTATGGTGCTGAATCCCCTGGCAGAGCCGACCGAGCCGAGGTGGTCGTGGCCATGAAGGTGAGGGGCTAGCGGAGCCGGGCAGGCCCTCCCCGCCTCTCCTGTCCGGTCGGGTCTCCCGGAGCGCCTCTTTTCCGTGTGTGTGCGTGTGCGTGTGTGTGTGTGAGAACGGGTTCCCCGCCGGCTCCTCAGAGACCTCCGCCGGCGGGGCCGGGGCCCGAGCCCGCCCGGGGCCTCTCAAGCTCCCACAGTGACCCCCTCGCGAGGAGAGACCGGGTCGCCGGCCTTCGCGCCTGGGGGAGGGGTCCCCGCACGCCGGCCGTCAGCACTTCCTGAGGGCCCGAGGCAGACCGGCTGCTGCTCGCCGGCGCCCCGGAGCCTGCGCCCACGGACTGCCCTCTGCCTCCACGAGTCCTTGAGCTAACCCGAGGGGCCCGTCTTGGGGACCCTAGGAGGAGAAAGAGAGTCATGCAGCGAGGATGAGGTTGGGGCTAGGAGAACAAATGCCTCGGGGGGGGGGTTCAGACCCCTCCCCCCCGGAGTTCTTGGGGGATGGGGGCGTTGAACGTGACCTAGAAGCGCGCGTCTGCGCCGCCACTAGGTACGCAGCAAGTAATCTGGCAGTTTTTCTCCAAGGTGGGTGTGAAAACGTGGGAGCACCACCGATGAGAAGTTTCAGGGAACCGGGCGAAGCGGGGAGGGTGTTGGTGATAGTGGTGATTTTGGCCCACTTTGAGGAGATGATTGTCTCTACTTGATCTCTGGGAGTTTTGAGGAGCTCTTTATACAACAATCAATCCAAGTATTGATTCTTTTGCCCAACTCAGACCAAGTGGAATGAGTCATAAAGTGATGATACACTTCCAGACAGACGGTTTCATTAATCTCAACGAAGTGTATTTGATGTGGGTAAGGAAAATAAAAGATGATCTGCTAGATGAGCTGTGCTCTTCACAACATTGCCCAGGATTCACTATGGAAGACTGAAAAGAAGTGTCAAATGGCTAGAGAAATTCAGCAAATATTTTGTCAAACGCCTCCTCTGTATTTGTCAAGTGGTAGTCGTGGTGAGTAGAAGTAATTCAAAATACAATACTACTCTTTAGGAAGGACTTTTCCAATCAAAAGAAAAAAAGAAGCCGGGCGCCGGTGGCTCACACCTGTAATCCTAGCTACTCAGGAGGCTGAGAGCTGAGGATCGGGGTTCAGCCGGGACAGGAAAGACTGTGAGACTCCTATCTCCAATAAACCACTAGAAAACTGGAAGTGGCGCTGTAGCTCAAGTGGTAGAGCGCTTGCCTTAAGCTGAAAAGCTGAGGGAGAGCACCCAGGCCCAGAGTTCAAGCCCCACAACCGCCAAAAAAAAAAAAAGAAAAAGAAAAAAAGACTTGCCGGGAGCCAGTGGCTCATTTCTGTAATCCTAGCTACTCAGGAGGCTGAGATCTGAGGATCGGGGTTCAAAGCCAGCCCTGGCAGGAAAGTCCATGAGACTCTTAGCAACAATAAACCACTAGAAAACCAGAAGTGGTGCTGTGGCTCTAGTGGTAGAGCGCTCGCCTTGTGCTGAAGAGTGCAGGGACAGCGCCCAAGCCCAGAGTTCTAGCCCCAAGACTGGCCAAAAAAAAAAAGAAAGAAAAGAAAAAAAAGACTTGTCAATAGCCACATTACAAAACAGAACGGTACAGAGAGTATTAAAAAACAAACCAACAAACAAATAGCTCACACCTGTAATTCTAGCTATGCTGGAGGCTGAGATCTGAGGGTAGTGGTTAGAAGCCAGCTGGGGCAGGAAAACCTGTGAGACTCTTATCTCCAATATCCCACCAAAAGCTGAAAGTGGAGCTGTGGTTCAAGTGGTAGAGCACTGACCTTGAACAAAAAAGCTTAGAGACAGTACCTAGGCCCTGCATTCAAACCCCAGTGTCCCAGGACTAGCACAAAAACCACAACTCAGGAGCAAGAAAAGATGCCTCTCACAGGAGAAAGCAACTTTTTAAAAAAAGTTAACTTTTTTTGTGTATGTGCCAGTACTGGGGCTTGAACTCAGGTTCTCAAGATCTTGCTAGGTTTTTTGTACTCTACAGCTTGAGCCACACCTCTACTTTCAGCTTTTTTGCTGGTTAATTAGAGATGAGCATCTAAGAGTCTGTGAGAATCATGGTTGGAATCCAGCCCAGGAAGACAATTCCAAGAGACTCTTTATCTTCAGCTGACTAACACAATGCCAGAGTTGGCTCCAGTGGTAGAACTCCAGCCTTGAGTGAAAAGGCTAAGCTCAAGGCCCTGAGTTCAAGCCGAAAAACACACACATACACACACACACACACACACACACACACACACACACACACACACACAGAGTTCCATGCATATTTCATTCAAAGAAACAGTTTCAGTAGGATATTATTTTCTGTTCTAAAGAGCGTATTTCTTGCCAGGTGTCAGTGGCTCATGCTGGTCATCCTAGCTACTCAGGAAGCTGAGATGTGAGGCTCACGGATCAAAGCCAGCCCGGGCAGGAAAGTTCATGATACTCTTATCTACAATAAACCACCAGAAAACAAGAAGTGACGCTGTGGCTCAAGTAGTAGAGCACTAGCCTTGAGCTGAAGGGCTGAGGGATAGCGCCCAGGCCCAGAGTTCAAGCCCCACAATCTAAAAAAAAAAAAAAAAAGGAGCATGTTTATCAAGTACTTCTAAAGAGGATAAAGATTTTACTTATTATGACCATTGTTTCTTCTGTCTGCTTTTAAGTTTTTTTTTTTTTTTTTTTGTCGGTCGTGGGGCTTGAACTCTGGGCCTGGGCGCTGTCCCTCAGCTCTTCAGCTCAAGGC